TTAGTGCAAGATTAAGAAATCAAGAGCACCCTAATTTGCGGACCCCAAATCCAGGGGTGAAATCCAGCAGGTTCTGATAGGTTCTGGTGAACCGGTAGCGGAAATTTTGAGTAGTTTGGAGAACCGGCAAATACCACCTCTGGCTAGTCCCAGAGTGGGGAGGGAATGGGGATTTTGCAGTATCCTTCCCCTGCCATGCCCACCAAGCCACGCACACCAAGCCACACCATGCCCACCAAAGCCTCGCCCACAGAACCGGTAGTAAGAAAAATTGGATTTCACCACTGCCCAAATCCTATAATTTTTCAATGATGGCTATTGAAGGAGAAAATAATTAAGACATTGTTTTACTAATAAATAATTAATTTAGAAAGTTTGGCCTAACAAAATGGCGGCAGAGAGGTATTTTTGGAGGTAGGGCATGTCTTGGGATCATTGTTAACGCCTAATAACTTCCTGGACCAGTCTCTGCAGGGTTTTTTGGCCAGATTTCAGAAGTGGTTTGCCATTGTCTCCTTTATAGGACAGAGAGAGAATGGCTGGCTCAAGGTGACCTGGTGGACTTCATCCTAAAACAGAATTAAGTCTTGCTTGGTGCCTTAAATATTAAACCATACTGGCTCTTCAGTCATTTGACATACAAATAGCTTACTAAGAGGTTGAAACTGCAAACTCAGGGTTTATGTTCCGGAGAAGTTTGTCCCTTGTAGGCACATGATTGCTACTCAAGGCTTGCTGAGCACACAAATCAAAGGCTAAACATACTCTGTTGTTTAGGTCATGGGTTTGGATGGCTGTCACTAAGGAGTCATTCTGCCTTTCCTGTAAAGAAAACTAGGTAGTCCTTGACTTACGACCACAACTGAGCCCAACATTTCTGTTGCTAAGTGAAACAGTGGCATGAGTTTTGCCCCATTTCACCACCTTTCTTGCCACAGCTGTTAAGTGAATCGCTGAAGTTGTTAACTTAGTAACACGGTTGTTAAGTGAATCTGGCTTCCCCATTGACTTCGCTCGTCAGAAGGTTGCAAAAGATGATCACATGACCCCAGGCCACTGCAACGGTCGTAAATACGAGTCAGTTGCCAAGCCTCTGAGTTTTGATGCATGGAGATGCTGCAATGGTTGTAAATGTGAAAAAAAAGTCATAAGTTTTTTCAGTGACGTAACTTCAAACAGTCACTAAATGAACTGTTGTAAGTCAAGGACTATCTGTATCAGCTCAATAAACTTGGCTCAAACAGACTATGTTGGTCTCCGTTGTCCATTGAGTCTGGGTTAGTTTTTCCCCTTCACTATGCTGGCTGTGGTGCAGCAAAGTTGTAGCTCATAGTATGGGGGAACCCCACAATTGCTTATCCCTTGCCTAGTACATGGTGGGAATCCAGCCCACCGGAAGTTGGCAAACGGGCCATTTCTGACCTCTGGAGGCCTCCGGGGTTGGGGGGGGGAGGCTGTTTTCACCCTCCCCAGACTCTTTGAGAGGTGAGAGAGAAAAACGGGCCTACTGGGTCATCACATGCCAGGAGCGGGGTGTGTGTGTCACATGCGCATGCGTGGGATGGGCCGCATAGAATTATGGGCATGGGCACATGCGTGCCCCCTCTGCCCCCACTCCCCCCCCCCCGGTTAGCCATCACTGTCCTAGAAGCTTCTTCAGCTCTGACTGGATGGTGGCGAATAGAAGGATCCACCATCCAGTCAGAGCTGAAGAAGCTTCTTGGATGAGAAGCAAAATGACTTCAAACAAAAAAAACAAGATAGTCCAGTTGCCTCCTGAAAAAGCACCTTTGGGACAACCGTGATCTGGATGACTGAGAATCTCCACAGAGTTTCAGTGAAGAGAAGAATCTCCACTAGGTGTCTCCTTCCATTCCCTACCATCCAGTCGGAGCTGAAGAAAATCACATCAAATCTTTATTGTCAATGCACAACATGTGTACAATGAGATTGAATGTGCCTCCCTTGGTGCAGCCCAGTGGTGGGTTCCTCGCGATTCTCCCCCGGTTCGGCCGAGCCGGTAGCGGTAGCGATATGACATCACCGAACCGATTCTCTTTATTCGGGAGCTGGGCCCTTCCCCCCCCCCCCCCATTCTTACATTTTATTTGGCCCCACCCCCAATCTATTCGCTGCCTCCCAGCTGATCGGCTAGAAGGGAAAAAATTGTTTAAACTCTTGCGCGGGGCAAGTCTGGTAGACCAATACCTCTGCTAAATCCTAAAGAATTGTCACATGACCATCAAACCACACCCACAAAATAAGCCACGCCCACAGAACTGGTAGTAAAAGCAGCCCCTCTGAAAACACAGAATACATCTCAATAACTCAATTAAAAAAAGAAAGAAATCCCTAAACCGAAATAAGTATTAACTATTTCCACACATTTCCATATACATATATGTATATAACATTATATTGTTGGAAGAAATATCCTTCTGGGTTGAAGTTCCAAGTGGGGAAAAAGACACTGGATTCAAGGAAGTTGCTTGGAAAGAAGGTTTATTGATGAACAGGATCACATGGCTTGGAGATCTTGGGCGAAAAAAGGGGGAGAGATGCTGAGAGTCCCCTGGGTTTTATACCCTCTCTGGCTTTGAACTTCCTGGGGCACAGGAAGAGTATCGTGATCGGTTGCTGTCAGAGGTCATAGCTAGCTCTTTAGGTTGTCTGTGTGTTAAGTTTGGTTGAATCTTGCTGGGTGATGCAATAAAGGGCAATTAAATGGCTCTGCCTGCAGGAGGTAGATCTTTGTTATGTAGAATAGACTGGCCCAGGCCTTAATGGCCCATTGGCAGGGGGGGGGGAGCTGAGTTTCTGCCTCCCTTTTAGGGGAAATATTCTGCCCTTTTAATATTTCCTAAAAATTTTCATTTTTCTAGGAGAGGGCTGGGTGCTAACCAGGGGTGAAATGCTCCCAGTTCAGACCGAACCGGTAGCGATGGCAGTGGGTGGTTCGGAGAACCGGCAGCAAAAATCCCCACGCGCCCCTCCCCGTGCCCAGCTGAGCCGCACAATCAACAGAGGCTTTTTTTTACTTTTAAAAGCATTTTTTCTACAATCTCTTCAACCAAAGAGGTTGTAGGGAAAAAAAATGCCTTTAAAAGCCTCTGACGATCCCAGCTGAGTCGCCTGATCGGCAGAGGCTTCTAAAAGCATTTTTTTTCTGCAACCTCTTAAGGTTGCCTCTTTAAAAAGGCACCTTTGAGACAATCTCGGCTAGGGATTTAAAACGGGATCTTCCTAGATTTGAATCCTTTTGCTTAAACATGTACAAGATAACAAGTATAGGTATTAAATGGTATAGGGCAGAGGTGAAATCCAGCAGGTTCTGACAGGTTCTGGAGAACCGGTAGCGGAAATTTTGAGTAGTTTGGAGAACTGTCAAATACCACCTCTGGTTGGCCCCAGAGTGGGGTGGGAATGGAGATTTTGCAATAACCTTCCCCCAGGAGAGGGGTGGGAATGGAGATTTTGCAGTATCCTTCCCCCAGGAGTGGAGTGGGAATGGAGATTTTGCAGTATCCTTAGCCTGGAGTGGGGTGGGAATGGAGATTTTGCAGTATCCTTCCCCTGGAGTGTGGTGGGAATGGAGATTTTGCAGTATCCTTCCCCCAGGAGAGGGGTGGGAATGGAGATTTTGCAACATCCTTCCCCCAGGAGTGGAGTGGGAATGGAGATTTTGCAGTATCCTTCCCCTGGAGTGTGGTGGGAATGGAGATTTTGCAATATCCTTCCCCCAGGAGAGGGGTGGGAATGGAGATTTTGCAGCATCCTTCCCCTGCCACACCCACCAAGCCACACCATGCCCCCCAAGCCATGCCCACCAACCGGTAGTAACAAAAAAAATGGATTTCACCACTGTTATAGGGTTCTCCTGCTTGAGCTACCGTCGACTAGAACAGGGGTCTCCAACCTTGGCAACGTTACGCCTGGCGGACTTCAACTCCCAGAATTCCCCAGCCAGCAAAACACCGAAATCTCCCATGGAAGAAATGAATGATGTATTCAATGTTGGTTTGTCTTTTTTTTAAAAAAAAAAAAAAAATTAAAAAGGAAACGAAAAGGAATTTGGGGACTTGTTTTGGACAAGCTAAAACTTCCCAGAGACAGCTGCCATTCACACACACACACACACACACACACACCAGCCAGGGATCGAGGGCGGCGGAACAGGTTTGTTTGGCACGCGTGGAGGCTTGCCTTGCCTTCGGGAATCGCTCGTGGATTCGGGCGTACCGCTGGCGCGCCCCACTTCCAGCTGCCAATGATCCAGGGTTTACGGGGAAGGGGAGGAGGGTCTCCCTTGCAAAAAAAAAAAAAAAGAGGCACTCCCTCCACACTCCAGGGGAAGGATGCTGCAAAATCTCCATTCCCACTCCACTCCTGGGGGAAGGATACTGCAAAATCTCCATTCCCACTCCACTCCTGGGGTAAGGATGCTGCAAAATCTCCATTCCCTCCCCACTCCTGGGGGAAGGATACTGCAAAATCTCCATTCCCACTCCACTCCTGGGGGAAGGACACTGCAAAATCTCCATTCCCACTCCACTCCTGGGGGAAGGATGCTGCAAAATCTCCATTCCCACTCCACTCCTGGGGGAAGGATGCTGCAAAATCTCCATTCCCACTCCACTCCTGGGGGAAGGATGCTGCAAAATCTCCATTCCCACTCCACTCCTGGGGGAAGGATGCTGCAAAATCTCCATTCCCATTCCACTCCTGGGAGAAAGATGCTGCAAAATCTCCATTCCCTCCCCACTCCAGGGGAAGGATACTGCAAAATCTCCATTCCCTCCCCACTCCTGGGGGAAGGATATTGCAAGCCCAGCCGGGGGAGGGGGGGAGGAGGCAGGGGGGTGCTTTCTAACCCCGCAAAACCCACGGATCTCCCCCCTCCCCCCCCCCCCCGGCCCCCCCCCCCTCTTCTTTGCCCAAAACGGGACCTGCCGTCCCGCCTCCTTTGCCCTGCATCACGTGGGAAGTTCGCCCCGGGGTCCTAAACCGGAGCAGCCGCGCCTTCGAGGGGAAGTTGGTGCGCGGAAGAGTAAAACCGGGTCTTAAGTTCTTTGCTGGCGCTGAACAGCTGGAGGGCATCGCGGCGGCTCCGGATTCCAGCTGTTTGGGAGGAACTTTTTTTTTTCTTTTTCCCCGCCCCGCCGAGAGGGCCACCATGAACCCGAGGTTGCTGCCCTGGCTGGTGCTCCTGGCCCCCTTCTGCCTTTCGGGTAGGTGATCCCGGGAAAGAATAACCCCCCCCCTCTCTCTCTCCCCTGGGAAGTAAGTGACAAGCGGTGCCCCCCCCCAAAAAATTCACTTTTCGAGTTTTCCCTCCGTCCACGTTTCCCCCACTCGTGGCTCTCCTAGGACGGTGATTCCCATCGTTCCCCCACCCCCTCCAGATTTTGGGGATCCAGAAGGGATCCAGAGTGATTCTCCCAGCTGTGGGATCGTCGGCTTCCAAGCGACTTTTGGAAAGGGTTAGAGACTGAGCCATGTGGCTCGCGATCCCTTGGCGACGTGCCACAAAAGCAGTTTCAATTCGGAGTCAAAACATGCCTGCGCTGGAAAAAGAAGCCAGCCGTTCCTCTTCTGGTGGATCCGGTCTGGGTGGGGGTGTGATCCGAAGTGATCCGAAATCCAGTCCAATCCCTGAACTGTAGAAGAAGCTCAGTAGGTGACTTGAGGTCATCTACTCGCTCTCAAACCCCCAACCCTCTTGTCGGGGTTTTGTTGGGAGGTTAACAAGCCCCCCCCCCTTGTATGTTGCTTTGAACTCCTGGTTCAAAACTAAATAAAATAAATATTAGAACCGCCATGGATAGGTAGGGCAGGTTATGGACAGCTGGTTCCTTTTTTAAAAAAGGGAAGGCAGAACCCATCAGATGATCTGTCCCTCGTTAAAAAAAAACAAAAACCTATTTCCTTTTCCAACTTTCGATTTACTACTTGTAAAATAATATCAGGGGATAAAAAAAGAAACAAAGCGCATCTTTATCCTTAAGTGTTTTTTCAAACTTGGCAACTTGGAAGATGCGGGGACTTCAACTCCCACAATTCCCCAGCCAGCATGCTGAAGTTGCTGGGAGTTGAAATCTTCACCTCTTCCAAGTTGCCAAGCATGAAAAACACTATTCAAAACATCAGGGAGTTTGCAAAAGTTTTATAGGGGTTTTTGGGGGGGGGGGGGGGGGGTGGGTGAGGGGTGTCAAAGGTCAACTGATGGAAGAATCCAGGGATGACATGAATATTGACCTAGGAATGCTGGTGGCTTATTTGGAAAGAAACTGGAAAAAACAGGTGGGAATGGGGGATGGAACGGGAGGGACGGAGATACGGTTGATTGATTGGAACAGGAAAAAATGTACCTACCACATTGTAAATGTTTCTTTCAAGCTCCATTTATCAAAAGAGAGTGTTCTGTTTTCTCTAGGGCCTCATTTTTGTACAGATAACTAATTTTGTTCTGGAAGTCTCATTGTCTCTTGTAAATGCTCATAGTTCAGCCACGCTGAACTGTTCGTTATTATTTTTCCAATGCTAGGGTATTTGCATTGTTCATTTGTTAACAGGGTTATATACATCATAATTACTGCAGCATAATTTGAAAGGCGTCAGAACACGCGGCAATATTGTGTTTTGCCTTTTCTAAGACGGCACTGTCAGGGGTGGAGAGCACTCTTCCTAAAATCCAAAGCAAGGCATGAACAGAGCTTGCCATATTGAGTCAAAACACAGATAAGGGAGCAAGTCTCATCAATTGCTAGACAACTTGCTTCTTCCAAGTAAGGCTATAAATCTTAAGCTTGGTTGCTAATCCAATCAGCCGTGCTCAAATTTGGACAAACTTTTTTGCACCATGGAAAGCATATCCTGCAAGCTGAGCTGTACATATTCTGTGATAGTATGAAGTGAACGTGGCTGCATATATACAAACAAATATAGTCACATGTATTCTGTTCTCTCTGTTACTTAGTGCATTTTCTCCAAATGGACATTAGGCAATAAAAGAGGGGAAGATTGGGGAAGGGAGGGAGGGAGGGAGGGAGGAAGGAAGGAAGGAAGGAAGGAAGGAAGGAAGGAAGGAAGGAAGGATTCTGATGCTCCTTGCCAGCTTCTTTGGTGATTTTTTAAAAAGCTTCTGGACACTTGCTGAATTTCAAGAAGGAAGGAAGGAAGAGAAAGGAGAGATAAAGAGAAAGAAAGAAAGAGAAAGGAAAGAGAGAGGGAGGGAGAGGGAAAGGAAGGAAGGAAAAAGAAAGAAAGAAAGAAAAAGAGAAAGGAGAGAAAACAAAAGAAAGAAAAAGAAAACAGAGAGAAAGAGAAAGAGGGAAAGAAGGAAGGAAAGAAAGAGAAAGAGAAAGAAAGGAGAGAGAGAGAAAGGGGGAGAAGGAAAGTAAGGAAAGAAAAAGAAAGAAAGGAGAGAAAGAAAAAACAAAAGAGAGAGAGAAAAGGAAAGAAAGAAAGAGGGAAGGAAGGAAAGAAAGAAAAAGAAAGGATAATAAAGGATCAGAAGCATAAGCCAGGCCTATCAATAGCATAGTCAAACTGATGTTAATGATGATAAGTTAACAGTTTGGGAAAAGCAGGCGGGAAGACACAATTCTTGTAGTATGTGTTGGGCAGACATATTGGCAAGCATCCTTGTGGTTAACTTGATGAGTTTGCCACAAACGTTTGAAAGGAAATCATTGTCATTTGGAAGGTCTGAATCAGAGAGTGGGAGAGTGGCTTGGGGTTTTTACTGCTCTTGTCTAGAGGTCCCAGTCCACTCTTTAGAGGACCACAAATGGACTGAAAGTCAAAGACCTTTGGCCGAAGACTCCCAAGTGAAAAGTCATTCCAACAAAATTTCTGAAGTCGCTCAACAATGAGATGGGTGGCATATTAATTTAATAAATAAATAAACTCGATGTCCATGGGCTGAATCTCATCCCAGAATAATCTGACCAATACTTAAAAAGATTGTTATTAACACACCCTTAAAAGAGCACTCACGACATGCAAGGCAATGGAGAAAGTCACACAGGCAGATTTCTTGTTTTGAAGATTAAAGAAAACAATATCTTTCAAAAGTGAGGTTGGGCTCGAGTGCAATGAGGTGCATAGTAAGTCCTACTGAGCTCAGGCTGGTTTAGGAGATGGTTTTGTATAATGCATCATATGCGCATTGCTCACTCTAATGCAGTGTTTCTCCACCTTGGCAACTTCTGGACTTCCAACTCCCAGAATTCTAGGCTGGCTGGGGAATTCTGGGAGTTGAAGTCCAGACATCTTAAAGTTCCCAAGATTGAGAAACATAGTTCTAGTTGCAGGGGTGTCAAACTCTATTTCATTGAGGGCTGCATCAGGCTTATGGTTCACTTCGAGGGGCAGGTGGGTGTGGCTGGGGTGGCATGGCCAGCTGGACATTGCTTGTGGCTGGGGGTGGCCCGGGGGGGGCTGGGGGGGGATCACCAAACCCATGTCCACCAGAGGAGTCTTGCCATCCCTCTCAGGCCATGCAGAGGACCCCTAGATGGTGCCGCAGGCTGCCCGGAGCCTTGGGTAGTAGATAGCAAGTGCCCAGTCTTGCCCAGACTACCCCAAAGGGCTGCCCGGCTGCGCTTACCTCCTCAGCGAGTGCGTGAGGGCTGGTGTCCTGGGTGAAAGGAAGCGTTCAGAACGCAGTTCCAAGGGACACTGGGCCCCGCACACAGTCCCTGCCTCCTGTGCGCATGTCCAGACAGCGGGAACGAGTTGGTGCCGCGGATCTAAGGCTGGCTGTGGTCTGGCCCAGATGGACACCACCAGGTTGTAGATCAGCACTCGGGCTGAGGTAACATCGTATTCAGAGGTGGGTTTCAGTAGGTTCTGACCAGTTCTAGAGAACCGGTAGCAGAATTTTTGAGTAGTTCGGAGAACCAGTAAATACCACCTCTTGACTGGCCCCGTCCCCATCTATTCTCCGCCTCCCAAGTCCCAGCTAATCGGGAAGAAATGGGGATTTTGCAGTAACCTTCCCCTGGAGTGGGGCGGGAATGGAGATTTTACAGTATCCTTCCCCTGCCACGCCCACCAAGCCACACCCACAGAACCGGTAGTAAAAAATTTTGAAACCCACCACTGATCATATTGGTAATATCATTATAAATATACAGTTCTTGAAGCCAGTAGTTGCATAGGCATTAGGACTAGCATCTTGAGTAGACTTATATAGGATGGCCCAAAATAAACATGAACCAAGCCAGTACTTCTTCAAGAGGCAAGAAGCAACCTCTCTTTTTACTATCTGACAAGGAAGTTTCTCTCTTACTCTTGCAGTTTGATATTTGAATTATATTACTGCCATTGACACAAACTATATGAATGTTGTGTTGCTTGTTCATTGGCTAAGGCTAATGGAAACTAACCCAAATCTGGCAACAGAATGGGCAGACTGCTTCTGCTTTAGGAAGATATTGTAGGATGCAAACACACAATCTTTTGTGGTCCAAGGACTTCATCTTTCTTTTTGAGCGTCATGCTGAAAATCACATGTCAAATATTGGGTGGAAACATCAGGCAGTTAAGATTGTTCTCTTCTGTCATCTTAAATATTGAAATTTTTGATAGTTGATGGCAGATATTAGAGGGGTTGCTGTGTAGAAGAATCCAGAAGCTGCGTTTTTTATTGCCTTTTGCTGTCTCACTTCCATCTTTAGTTGGGCAATCTGTTTGCACAATTAATATTTCCAATTGCACAATCGGGCTTGCTAAAATTTATGATAGTCCGAAGTCATAACAACAATTTGCAGACTTCATTTTGGACAGTATCTGAACTAAGAAATAGTAGAGAGCCATCAAGAGTGCCCTTGATGGGAATATTCAAAACTCTTAGAGAAACAATTAAGGCAGAAACATTTTTAAACTCTGGGAAAAGTGATGGTATCAGGCATCAAGCTGGCTCCACCCTGACTTAATTGGAATATAAGAAAGAAGGAAGATAAAACACAAACTAAGTTTCAAGATTCTGTTACTCTAGCCCCGTGATGGCGAACCTATAGCACACATGCCACAGGTGGTATGCACAGCCATATCAGCGGGCACGTGAGCTTAGCTCCGGCAGGCATGCGCGCACCAGTCAGCTGGTTTTTGGGCCTTCTGGGCCCACCAGAAGTAGGAAAACAGGCTGTTTCCTACATCTGGACAGCCTCGGGGGGGGGAGGCCGTTTTCACCCTCCCCAGGCTCCTAGAGAGGCTCTGGAGC